CACTTAAAATGTATTCTGGTGTACAGTATGAAAAATAAATGAAATTTATCTTTTTCTACATAGCTCTTCAGTTATAACATATAACAGCTGAGCTTTTCTCACCGATTTGAAGTGCTGCCTTTATTATATACGAAATGTCCATATAAATTGGGTCTCTTTCAGGATTTTAAAAATTTGTTTCATTGTACCAATATTAGAGTTTCACTTATAAAAGTTCTATGATATATGTTAATAACTGATAGGTTAACCTTCTCTCTCACTATAAGTGTTCACCCACCAAAATTGTTCATGTTTCCCATATTTTCCTGGTTGTTTTTATTTATTTATTTACTCAAATAAACTTTATCACCCATTTATCTAGCTTGAGAAAGAAAAAACCTAATGGTACATTAACTGGGCTTACGATGTATTTATAAATAAACTTAGCTAAAGCATATCTTTATGAAGGTGAGTCTTTCTATCTGTGTCTTTCCATTTGCTCAAGGTTTGCTTTGCCTCCATCAATAGTGTTTTAAAGTTACTCTCATGTAGCTTTGAGTGTGTTGGTGAAGCTAGCCTACGTATGAGATTTATTTTTGCTAATATAAATATCACATACATATGCATATATATACATATACACACACACACACACACACACACATACCTCCAATGTAACAAATAGATAATATGCTAATTAGACTGGGCAGCGGTTCCAGAATGACCAGTGGGAGGGGCCGTGGGGCTGCAAGGCAGCCGGGGTGCAAGGGCTGAGCCCCTTGCACAAATTTCGTGCACCGGGCCTCTAATATATATATATGTGTGTATTCTCACTGGTTTTTTGGTCATATACATAAAAGTCATTTTCTTGTTTTATTGTGGTTACTATTTTTCAGCTCTCACAAAACATTTTAAACACAGTGCAAGTTTGAAAGAATTTTCCAGTGAACCCACCATCCAGATTCTTATATTAACATTTTACTATACTTATTTTATAGGGCCATTCATTTTCTAATATTCCTTTAAAACCTGCTACTTTACAAATTTCTCTTATGATTTATAGTACTTAAAAGAGGCAATCTTGAAGGCATTATGACCACTATAAAATATATACTATGAAATGGGTTCAGACTAATAATTCAGGAGAGCAGTTTCTGAGCCACACTCATAAAGACATTCATCCCAGAAAGAATGCTTTGAAAAATAATTGCAATGTTTTAAATAATGAACCATTTTATTATTTGTGAAATACTGCAGGCTTTATCCCTCTCTTGGAGAGTCACCAGGTACCTTAGTGTATTAAAGGCTCTAAGACTTACAGGATACATTTGTCTTTGGGGTTACCAGGACTAGAAAAATGTACCCTTATATCAAGAAAATCAGAAGTGGCCAGTTCATTAAAAAAAAAAAAAGTTTAAAGTTACTTCCCCTGCTGTGACAGACACAACTGTCTGTCCCTTTCTGAGAGTTTCTGGTTACTCATTTACCACCTGCCCCTCCTCCCCTAACAGAACTCTATTCTCTAGATGTTGGTGGCCTAATGAAGGGGGTGAGTGGTTCTGGACTTCTCTTGAGCCTCACTGAGTCAATTCTGTTTGTAAAAGCCAATCCGATTTCCTCCCCAAGGGCTAATTTAGGAACAGGCATGGCATCTAATTCAAACCAGTGAGATGGAAGAAAGGAGTTTAGTTGGGAGCTTCTGAAAAACTTTATTTGCTTTAAAAAATAAAAAGATGGGCTCAATTGTATCAAAA